CGCCTACCAGTATCAGTGAGTGAGTGAATAAAAATTTAGAGTCACAGCGGCAGTATTTCGTGACTTCAAACGTTTTGCATATACAGTAAATACATTTTGTTATTATATAATCCTGTCATCAAAGGACTGTAAAATAGTTAGATCACAGATGTTGCTTTAAAACTAGTATGAAACCATAAAATATATCATCATACGAAACAGTAAAATATATTAACATGCTATAGATCACCAGAGCAGTTAAAAGGAGATCACCATACCAGTATCTTACTTACAGTATCTGTGCTACCTGCATGGATCCTAGTAGGGTTGACATCATCCCACCAGCCACTGGCGGTTATCAGCAAATTTAGTCAAACTTAAAATAACATGAATTCTGCTATTAAAATCATAGTAATATGTTCGGAAGAAAATGATTTTATTTCTCATTTTGGAGTATCTTTATGTCAATCGCATGCAAAAAACATAGGGTGTTGTCAACATACAGTTTTGTTGGACTGCGGGGAGATTCTGATCCGCTGCTTCCTGTGACGGTTGGTTGTTTAAGGTCAGTAATGTTCCAGCTATATGGCTGCTGCCTACAGATAATCGAGACTCGACAATCCAACGATCAACAGTATGAGCATCGATTTACACAATTGGGATACGATGACATGGGTCAACCAAGTCCATGACCACCCGATCCTGTTAGTTGCCTTTTAGGGAAATGATGGGTTGCTTCTAACCCGGCTCATGATGTTGTTCACAGGATTGTCTGGTCCAGACTCGATTATTTACAGACCGCCGCCATATAGCTGGAATATTGCTGAGTGCGGCGTAAAACAACAAATACACAAACAAACAAACAAACAAATCTCCCTTTTTAGCTCTACCACAGTGCATGTATTGTACAGGACTCTAGATCAGTAAACCCTACTTCTATCTTTTGGTACGACGCACAGGGATTATGGAACGCACTACTTACCGCGGAAGCAGCCTTGTCGGCTGGTGACTTCAAAACAGACAACAAAATGAATACAAACATATTATTCTTTATTATTGTTTCTACACTGACAAATACACAAATAATTGTACCATATAACAGTACTCCGCCCTCACTTAACGTTGTTCTGATTAAACATACTCAGTATGAACACAAACCCCAAACATACTGGAATCTGTCGTGTGGTTAACTATGGAATATCTTATAATGAACCTCCAAGCAATAACAAGGTTTGAACTGTCTTATAGTGAGTGGGTGAGTGAGAGGATATGGTTTTACGCCACTTTTAACAATATTCCAGCAATATCACGATGGGGGAACACCAGAAATGGGCTTTGTCCATTGTACCCATGTGAGGAATCGAACCCGGATCTTCAGCGTGAGGAGCGGACGCTTTAACCATCAGACTACCCCACCGTTCCCCACACCTACACTACATACATTGAGGATTTTACGATTCGAACTATAGCGATGTCGTCACATGTATAACATGCTTGAATGCTTAAAATATTCGTAGAAATAAAAATATCTAACAATAAATAACATTAATAGAAATCAGTTATGTAACAATCATTGTGTTACTGTCTCTGGGGGTGGTGGGGTAGCCCAGTGGTTAAAGCGTTCTGTCGTCACGCCGAAGATCCGGGTTCAATTCCCCACATGGTTACAATGTGTGAAGCCCATTTCTGGTGTCCCCCGCTATGAAATTGCTAAAAGCGGCGTAAAACTATACTCACTATTACTTGGCTGCTGGGCACTATAGGTATGTACACATCTTGACACATTCTGTGTTGGAACCACGTGTGGTTACCTAGGAGTTGATCAACATCATCGTTGTTCCTTGGTACCCCTATCCTTCCTCTTCCTGGTTTTGATATTGTCCCAAATACATTTGTTAATCGGGATGATGATGACACAAAATGGCTGAGCAGAGAACGGGGGTAAGTGGTGTACACCGAGTTTTATTATTTGTTGGTTACGCTACATTCTAGACTCTCAAGACAGGCATTTGGTCCCGCGTTAAACTTACCTAAAAAAAACCCTCACAACCCCCCCAAATAAATAAAAAGTAAATAAATAAAAAAATATATATATGAATATAAATAACTAAAAAAAAATTTAAAAAATTAAAATCAAGCCAACTAACCAAGAATAAAAAAGACCAAAGAGAAGCACAGATCAATTTAAAATGCACCCCCCCCCCCAATAAAAAACATTAAAAAATAAAACGAACAATGCAAGTAAACAAACCAACAAAAATAGATCTGAAAGAAGCTCAGATCAATTTAAAATGCAGTGTAGAAATTCTATAAAGTCCAAAATTAAACGGAACTATACTTTATTGTCGGAGAACCAAGTGTAATTCCCCGCAGAAAAGCTGAGAGCATGTTGTGTTATAAATATTTTCATAACACGGACCCACCATCAATATTCTTACAACAAGAGTTTCGCTTGGAAATGTGAAGAAACAAACAAAAGACTATTATTTTGTAGGGATTAGTTAAACAAACGATTTGAAAATAACATTACTCAGGTTCTGAGCTTTAGCATACATTGTTACATGAAGCAAGGGAGGTTACTCAAATTACTTTTGCTCTTGACATGCTGACATGATGAGCTTTTTTAAGCAAGGGACGTTACTTTAATTACTTTTGCAGAGCAGCTGTTCGCTACTCTTCGGACAGACGCCACCGTGTGCTTTTGTCGGGCAAGATGAAAGGTTCATCGAATGGGGTTTTAAATTTCAAACTACTGGCACAAGTAGAGGAACAAGACACTCCAACTGGTAGTTTTATCAGTGTCCGCGTGAATATAGGAAACACATTCACTGAAGATTTAGAATTTTATTGGTGTTATTAAAAGGAAAATATGATCTGCAGTTCGATGATCGGCTCAGACACCTGACTGACGTTGGTCTTTGGTTAACGTAGTGGTCGGCGGTTTAACTCTGCACCAATATTCCGAATATATGACAGTGGTCTGTAAATAATCGAGTTTAGACCAGACAACCCAGTGATTGATTTCATGATCTACGCAATCGGGATAGGATGACATGCATCAACCATGACCACCCGATGCCAAGTCTGGGCCAGACGATCCAGTAACTGATATGATGAGCATCGAGCAGCATGTGACATACATCAACCAAGACAGTGAGCCTGACAACCAGATCATCTAACCAACCGACCCTTAATGGAACAGTCAGATGCCGAGTACTACCAGAATATGCAATGGTATTTGATACTTTCTGTTAATTCATGTCAGATTTCATTTATCAAGACTTCGTATATTTTAGTCACGAGACTTTGTATAACGGAAATACTGAATTTGAAATATATTAAACATGGGAGTCATAAAGTTACTGTTCTTTAAACTGATAGGATGTAGGCTAAGAACATTAGACATGACATTGGAAAAAATAGTAGAAAGCTGATTTTTTCAGAAAAGGTTCAGAACATCATTACCATGTGCAAGATACAAAGTTCTGCAAATTTTACCTTGTGGCATTTTCAAAATGGCCGGCAATTTCAAGATGGCCACCAAAATCATTAAAAAAAGTCTTGAAGATGATATCTTGTGGATGCGAGTTTGAGTGCAGGGGTCGGTGCAGTTGTCGAAGAGCAGGAATTGAGTGCACATTGCTTTGCACTGGATGTCGAGGATTGCCAAACTGCCAAAATGTACTCTGTATTGAAGAATGAGATGTTGTGATTGACAAAAAAGACTTTATGATACATGAATCAAAGACTGGTGATTACAGTGAGTTTCAAAATTTACTAACTTAAAATGAAGATATGGATATTTGTAAAAGTGATTTACCATCAATGTGGTGACCACAGCTGTCTTGATTTACCAACCATGAGTAGCCATTTTGACGTACCAAAAGCACATGCATCAAATGTGTGGTTATCATACCATAATTAATTGTCTTATGTATGTTAGGTGTTAAAAGTAATATTTTAGATTCCTTGTGAGAAGCGTTTTCTTTTAATGTATCACTACGCATAATTATTGACAAAATATCTGTTTGCATAATCATTTTAATGATTTTGGTGGCCATCTTGAAATTGGCGGCCATTTCGAAAATGCCACAAGGTAGAATTTTGTATCTTGCACATGGTAATGATGTTCTGAAGCTTTCCTGAAAAAAATCAGCTTTCTACTATTTTTTTTCAATTTTACCTATTGTTTGTGTCTAATGCTCCTGGCCTAATGCAAAGGTGCACAACGGGATTCCATCTTGAATCGTCTAGTTTACATTGCTGAAATGAACAGCAGTGGTGCAGGTTCTACTCACTTATAGTAACAGTTAAGGATAAACCAAGGACCAAGAAAGCTGAAAAATTGACGAGTTCCACCTGTTTTCTGTAGCGCTGAACTATGTCAGGGGTATATGCCTCCAAGAACCAACATCCATACTCCTGGCAGAGCATAAGTTGATAAATCCATCCTCGCTGCTGTCAGACGTTGAAGCTGGTTCCACTTTCGCTGAACGACTTCTTGAATTGTGTCCGTCACCCTTGCTGAAACCGATTCATCAAACTGCAACCATTGTAGGAGAGTTTTTCGCAATCGCCATATATACCCCAATGTCATCTGAATCATGATCACCATGAAGTGGAAAGCAAACATCGTTCCATTATGAAATAGCACAGATTGAGAGGAGACAGGTTCCTGTTTGTATTTGGACACTTCTAGTTATCCTGAACCTTCATTCATAAAACCAAACACGAATTTGATTATTTGTTCGTCGTTTTAAACTCATAGAAGCCCATGCAAATTGCGTTTTACTGATTCACATTGAAATCAAATCCACACACAAATGGACATGTGACATCACTTATCAGAAGGTTTATATTTATTTTAAAGTAAGTGCGCGAGTCGAGTTTAACAAACATGTGTTTTGGGCTTGCATGGTGGTAATTGTAATGGCTCTCGCTGCATAAGTTTTCTTTTAATGTATCACAAGGTATGGTTAATTAAAAAGAAATATTTTCGTGAAATTATTTTGATTATTTCCAGGACAATGGTGGCCATCTTGAAAATGCCACAAGGCATGATAGCAATATATTTAGAATCCCTGTGAGATGAGATTTCATTATGAGCTTATATTACATGGCATAATTATTGACAAAATATCTGTTTGCATAATCATTTTAATGATTTTGGTGGCCATCTTGAAATTGGCGGCCATTTCGAAAATGCCACAAGGTAGAATTTTGTATCTTGCACATGGTAATGATGTTCTGAAGCTTTCCTGAAAAAAATCAGCTTTCTACTATTTTTTTTCAATTTTACCTATTGTTTGTGTCTAATGCTCCTGGCCTAATGCAAAGGTGCACAACGGGATTCCATCTTGAATCGTCTAGTTTACATTGCTGAAATGAACAGCAGTGGTGCAGGTTCTACTCACATATTAAAATATTTGTTTCATATTTTTTATACTACCAGACCTTTAGAGGAGGAAAAACCTATAGGGAACCACTGAATAGTTGCTGATATTTTCCCACTAACCGACAGATAGGTGCCTGTATGAAATCCGTAAAGCAAGTGAAAAAGATGTGACCTCACATGCATGAACGGAAACAGGTTTTACAGTGATAAGAGAGTTCTTTTAGCATTGAAGTGATGCTGGTAGGGCATATCAAAGGATGACGGACAGCTGTAGTATCAGTCTAAGAAGGAGTGACGTTCACTGGAAGGGTTGCGTTGAGTCTGAAGGGCTCTGGGACCACATCAAAATGGAAAATGGCGTCTCCCCATGTAGCGGTTGCCATGAGCAACAGAGGTACGGCTAAAATGTTCATCATGATTCCAGCTGACGCCTGAAAGCAATCATGAATGAGTGAGTTAAAATTTAGAGTCACATCGGCAGTATATCTGCGATACCGTGACAAGAAGAGTTTTGCATACATAACAAATACATGTTGCTATAAATCTAGTCGTCAAGGTACTGTAAAATTACCAGATGATCACAGACGGTGGTTAAAACTAGCATAGCTATCTAGAACTATTTTACAGTATAAACACAGGCAACAGATCGCCAACGACTGATCACTATACTAGGGGCCTTGGGGACTTTTGCGTTAGCTACCTGTATGGACCCTAGCTGGATTTACATCAGTTCTTCGAACGTTTATCAATTATAACAAATTTATCCAAAGACAAAACGAACACATAGTCCCCGAATAAAAGTACGGAAGAAAGTTTTTCTTTGAAAGAAGTGGTCCCAGGAAGCCTCTCCGGAGGACATAACCTACGGTACCACATCTTCTCTCGAGGACGCAGCTACCAACAACCGCAGCTGCTAACTTACACCATCAATCACAAAAGGCTACAATGAGAAATGGTAAAATAGCACTTCTTTATGTAAGGGGTGATCTCGTTGGTCGTATATTGGCTTCAGCTGATCCCGACATCTATTCATCGAATATACAGTGAAAAATGTTTATATTCCAAGTCTATGGACTTACCATGTCGGACACTTTGATATGGCCGTAGCTAAACACGATGGCATTAGGGGGCGTGGCAGCGGGCAACATGTATGCAAATGAAACAGAGAGGGCTGCCGGAAACATGTAGAACAATGGGTTCACTCCGGTTCCAATAGCCTGCAGAATGGAGAGCAGAGTTCACTTAATCCAGGAAAACATCAGCTGTAAATACTTAAGGATGCACAGAAAACGTCATTCGTTTACATGGTGAGTGAGTGAGTTTATTTTTACGCCGCTTTTAGCAATATTCCAGCAACATCACGGAGGGGAAAACCAGCAGCGTCACACATCGTAACCATGTCGGGAATCGAACACGGGTCTTCGGCGTGACGAGCGAACGCTTTAACCACTAGCCTACCCCATCGCCCCTCGTATACCTGCACGTTGCATATCAATATCCGTGTAAATACTGAACATGGATGTCGGGAATATAATCAAATAAGCATCACATTATGGAACTCTTTCAAATTTGTAAAGTTCCTTGATTTCGTGTTGACATAAGGTCATAATAAATCAGTAAAATGAAATTGTTTTGAAGTAATTTTATGAAATTTATACGGTCACATTTGTATAATGATTATTTGGACACGTGTTTTAGTTTCTTAATTCCTGATGAATGTGGGAACCAAATATAGGCTGTGACGTCATTTATACTACACATGACGTCATTGACGAAAACACAAAACACAAAAATGTAACGTACCAGGTTGGCCAGGATCGGCATGACAAGTGTTGCTGTTGCTGTGTTGCTGGTCACCTCGGTTGCTGCAGCACACACGTAACAGATAATCAGAAGCAACAGCCATGGGTTCAGGCCCTTCAACACCTGCAGCTGAGTACCAATCCAGAAAGACAGGCCAGACTCCTGTAATTATCACAAAAAAGAACTACATGTAGTTACTTTTGTGTTTGTGCAGGATTCAGAGTGAGCATAGTTTTACGCCGCTTTATGCTTTACATTCCAACAAAACCACAGCGGGGTACGCCAGAAATGAGCTTCACACTTTGTACCCATTTGAAGAATCGAATCCGGGCCGTCGCTTTTACATCTTGGCTACACCCCAGGGTTGTGTGATTGAGAGTAGATTTCAGGGATATGCCAAGTAATTTATACAAGCAGTTAGATATAAAGAATATTATTTTATCCTAAAATTGGAAACTCCCGGTAAATACTTTATTCAATGCAATAAGGAAAAGATTAGCATTAAATTCGTCTTACTTTACTGGTCCGTCATATTATAGAGTGAGTGAGTAAGGCTTTACGCCGCTTTCAGCAATAATCCAGCAATATCACGGCGGGGGACACCAGAAATGGGCTTCACACAGTGTACCCGTGTCTGGAATCGAACCCGGGTCGTTGGCGTGACGGGGCGAACGCTTTAACCAGTAGGCTACCCGACCGCCCTCATATTATAGGATTGAATTGGTAGTATTTCAGACCTGAATCCCGTCAAACACTCGGAAACACGTGTCTGTGACAATAAAGATCCTACCTCTCAGCCCTTAGCAAGAGCACATATGTGTCCAAGCAAACAAACACGTGTCTGTGACAATAAAGATCCTCCCTCGCAGCCCTTAGCAAGAACATATTTGTGTCCAATTAAATAAACATGTATGTGTGATAATAAAGATCCTACCTCACAGCCCTTAGCAAGAGCATACCCGCCTCCAAGCAGGAGGAAGAGTGCCCATGGCATCTTCTCGTGGAGGACCTTCCACGTCAGCAACGGTGTGATCGGAGCCTCGGCTTCTGCCTTCTCTTCTTCAGTCATTTCATAAGCTGTAGAAATAATCATATTGTAGCATCACTTGGCATCACCTTTATATTTTCTGGTGGTGATGGGCTGGGATTTAGTATGGAGGTTACAAACCTTTTCAGCTGAAGGTGCAAAACCAGATATTTAAAAAAATTAAAACTAAAGAGTTAAAAGTTTTTTTTATAACAAACTCTTTACAGAAATGTTATTTATTTATGGCGGATACCTTCTTTAATTATGAGTACGAAAGCATTTCAAGAAAATTTTCGGTATTTTCTGCGGATAAAACCCCAGTCCATCTCCCAAATATCAAATGGTCGACTCAAAAGAAGTTTGAAAGTTGTAGCCCACATCTACCTGTTAAAGTAGGTGGCCTTAACTGTCTACATTTACTTTTTCAAACATACAAAACAATTCTGAGCTGACACGCGTTTAGCGTGTAACGGGCAAGGTTCTGTGTTTCATAACCAGACTTACAGTTTTTCCGGAGACAGAAGACACGTGGTAATTTGGAAGGAAGAACAAAAAGCATCACTGCCAACAAAACTGCAGGTGTCGAATCTTTTACCAAGCTGCAAAGAAAATAATGTCTCTTACAGGTACATGTTTGCGGGTTTTATTTAAATTTATTTTTTAATATTGAGAGAATATGGGCCAATTTGAACCGTTGAAAATGAGTTTCTACAAACTGTGTGGGTATGCTTATTGTTGAAGATGCTTCTTGTGATATTTTCGAAAGAAGTAGAAAACAAATGAAAAAGACACTTTATACAAATGCCAAACTTACTTGTGTTCAAAGAGATCTCCCCAGCCACCAACTCCTCCGAGATCTCGCGAGACCCAGAAAATAACCAGTAGAAGAAATAACACCATGACATTGGCCTGGGCGTACCTGATAACAAAGCACGTTACATTGCAATAAACATGTATAGGGGACTATGCAGCATATTTTGAAAAAGTACTGGGTTTGGACAGTATTGGAAACATTGGTCACTTGGCTAATTGTGTGTCATTGTAACAAAAAATGACAATGTTTGGGACTATAAATAAATAAGTAAGTAAGTAAGTAAGTGGGTAAGTAAGTAAAGTAAGTAAGTAAGTAAGTAAGTAAGTAAGTAAGTAAGTAAGTAAGTAAGTAAGTAAGTAAGTAAGTAAGTAAGTAAGTAAGTAAATAAATAAATTTGCACTATAAAAGAATAAATAAAGGAAAAAGTCCATTAAGATCTGCTGCTTCTGCCCACACCTATCTTTCAAACAGCCTTTGAAATATTTTTACCAGATGGAAACCTCTTTGGAATACCCGCTATGCAAAAGAAATGGCAACTTTCAAAGCAGAATTCTTTGCTTCAAACGTCCTTGAACACAAGACCAAGGTAAGCATGCGGATAGTACGTCCGGTATCATTGCTTGACACATGGTGGTCACTCTCCTACCCAGAGTTCCATGCGGCAAGCCAGCATAGTACCTCTGCCACAGGCCACAAAAATGTGACGATTCGTCACATCTTGCAATGTCCATTCAATATAATGTACAGATTTCTTTTACTCTTTTATTTTTGACGAGTCTACACATTTAACTAAACATCTTTAATAGAATGGTTTAGTTTCACTGAGAAAATATCCAAAAACATGTAACACTATTTCGATTTGCGTAGCGATCCTTTGTTTACACATAGGTTGTACAGCTCCACGTGCTGTCATCGAAGCTGATGGAGAGCAAACGATGCAGCCAGTTTGATACCTAAATATGTACTGTCATATACCTTACTGTCGCAGTTGTGGAAGAATATATATGTAACAATGTAAAAACATTATGAAGAGAGCGCCGAAAAGCTTTCGTGAGTCCAGTCTCTTCTTATTTTAAAATATGCGCGTTTGATTACAAACAAGAGAAAAGTCCGGCCACGTGATATGCAAATTAGCCTGTGGCAGTGATGTTATGTTAAGTCATCGCTGTGCCGGAGTGTGACATGGTGGTATCACAAGATGGCAACCCCCTGGACTGGTTCACGAGTTTATAGCTTCAATTGTAGGCAAATATCTGCACCAGACTCTTCATGCACCATGCGTTTGATAAGTGTTGCTATTTCCTTTGCTGATTCGAATATCATTTTATGGTCTCTTTTTCAAACTGACTATAATATGAATGTGTAAGCCGATACTTCGTTGCCAGCAACATCAAAACACAGATAAGCCTGTGAGTAACATTAGGTTGCAATACATGAGAATACATGCAAAATGTATACAATTGTTATGTCAGTACACTTCCACTAAGAAGAATTAGAACGAGAAAATAATAAAAATGAAAGCTCACGTGATAGCACCAAGTTTCTTATACTCTGTCACGATGACATTTCTCACTTTCTCGGCCTGGATCCTTCTTAAAGGGTCATCGCTCAAGCAAGCACAGATACCTCTGCAAACGGAAAACAGATATACATTTTCTCTTTCTGAGAGCATGTGCAAGGCATTTCCTAGGGACGACAACCATCTTAATTTGTGTCGAATTAGGACACTTCCTCGATTGCATGAAGGACTATTATCTAAACAACATTCCTATTTTTAACTGTAACGTTCCATAAATATCACAGCCATTTAATGACCCAAATTAATGAAAAATAAATGAAATGCTTTTGATATGTATAATAGTGTTTAAGGTACATTTAGGACTGAGAGAATGGTGATGTGTTACATCGCATTATAATAAAATACTTGATTGGTTCGATGGTTGGATTGGTGTTTAACGCCGCTCTCAGCAATATTCCAGCTATATGGCGTCGGTCTGTAAATAATCGAGCCTGGACCAGACAATCCAGTGATCAACAGCATGAGCATCGATCTACGCAATTTGGATCAATGACAAGCCCGTTAAGCCTGTGCAAAAATTGGTATTCAGCAACACATGATGTCGTTAGGGGCGACTAAAGGGTTGCTAGCCTTGGTCGATGCATGTCATCGTCTCCCATTTGAATGGAACGATGTTCATGATGTCAATCACTGAAAAGTGTTGCCCTAACTCGATTACTTATTTATTTTCCCATGTAGATGGAATATTGAAGAGTGCTTCGTAAACCATCAATCATGGCCAATGGACTTGTCAATATTCTTACTTGCATCTGAGGTAGAGAATATTGAGCCAGCACCAGCAGACAATGAGGACGACGACAGACAAGGGGAACCCGTAGGCCATCCAGGAGGCAAAGTTGACGGGAGACTCAATACCACGGCTACTGTACAGTCTGGAACAGCATGTTGTCGCCATTGATTATGATACCATTATCGATATAAACTAACGTTCAGAATAAAGTACATACCCCCAAAAAAAAAAAAAAAAAAACAAAAAAAACACCCCAAACCCACAAAATAAAACCATCACCACCACAAACAAACAAAAAACCCAACAAAACACACACACACAAAGAACAATACAACAAAAAAAACCCCAAAAAACAACAACAAACAAATTCATTTTTTTCACGAAATCAGAAGTTCACGCCGTATAGCTTTCTTCGAACAAAAACAACCCAATATGCCCAATTCCAGGGACCGCCTCCGTGGTGTAGTGGTTAGAGCGTCCGCCCCGAGAGCGGAAGGTCGCGGGTTCGATCCCCGACCGCGTCATACCAAAAAACGTTAAAATATGGTGCTTGTTGGTCCCTGCCTGGCGCTCGGCAGTAATGGGTACAACAAGGACTGGTCGGCTAGGAGTCAGTATATTGTGTCTGAGTGGGGTATTCATGCTTCACTGCGGCATGGTATCAGTGAGCTAGCACTATAAAACCAGCTTCAGTCTGGGCTAGCACAAGCAGCCGCACATACATACACACGCATGCACGTCGTCATATGAGCGAAATATTCTCAAGCACGACGTTAAACCCAATTCCACCACCACCAAATCCAGAAACAAAACTTAACTTAAACTAATCATATTAGTATACGCCCATTTACACTAATAGACTAGGAATTGTAGCAGTATAATTTACTCACTCATCTGTCTGTCCTTTCAGGACGAGGTTTGGTCCAGTTCCTGTAAGACTTGCGATGCCTCCGGAATTAGCCCCGTATGCAATACACAGTGAAAGGGCTTTCTTCAAACGGGTAAACTCTGCTTCCTCGGTTACGTCTGGTCCATCGCTGCAACAGGAAGTCGCAAGATGAACCGTCCATAAAATATTGCATTGTCCTGTTCACACGAAACTCAAATGGTGATTGACATGCACCATTATCATACGTCGCTTTTTATGTAATTTAATGCAAATATTTCCACTTTGTAGCCTTCTTTCGTCGGAAGATGGATTTAGGTTGTGGGGAGCTGAATGTTATTGCTATAACCACTGTTCTTGTAATATGTTATCTTTGAATTGAACTGACTGCAGTGACTCCATTTTTACTTTCATCGTGATGCCTTTGAATGGATTTGTGAACTTAGTTAATTTTATAATTCAATTCTTAATTTCGTCATTTTTTTTATTATTTGTTGGTTTTGCACCTAGTTCTTTTGTGAGAACTAGCTATGTCAGAACTGCTGGGCGGTGCTAGGCAATAAATATAAACAAACATTTACTTTAATGCAAATACTTTGAGTGACGGGTGCTAGCAGTAAGACATGGCAGTGCTGGCCCTTACCGCGAACCCCTGTGGTCCCCACAGATGTTTCATTATTCATTCAGCTCTATGATGCCTTTTACGCCCAATGTTATTTCTTCTGGCGAGTAATCGAGACTGATTTTATCTCGTTTATGTGTTGACATAAAGTTATTGTCCCAAGCAGTACGCTACAGGAGAAGACACAGGTGTCCGGTTTACCATTAAAGATGCGAACTAGCAGATTTAAATACAGGACACGTTTTATGGACAAGAACTTCATTGTATTCTTAACACGACGTTTCGGGGCCAATTATTGCTCCTTTTTCAGGTGAATGATGTTGAAGCAGCAAGAATTAGTTCTGAAACGTTGAAGGAATAAAAAGAAGTTATACATAAAACGTATGTCAGTTTACAAGTCTATATGTATTAAAATATCCAGTATATATCTAAAATATTGTTTATTCACACCTTATTTTTCTTCTTTACTAGGGGACGAAATTTCACAGATTGGTGGGTGACCAAAATTACAGGCGCACCTTTTGTTCTTGGGGATATATCGCCTCACTGATCTGGAACCTTAGCACAATAGCTGCTGGGTATGCGGGACACAGAGAGAGAGAGAGAGAGAGAGAGAGAGAGAGAGAGAGAGAGAGAGAGAGAGAGAGAGAGAGAGAGAGAGAGAGAGAGAGAGAGAGAGAGAGAGAGAGAGAGAGAGAGAGAGAGAGAGAGAGAGAGAGAGAGAGAGAGAGAGAGAGAGAGAGAGAGAGAGAGAGAGAGAGAGAGAGAGAGAGAGAGAGAGAGAGAGAGAATCACCCACACACCTCTACGTACCATGTATCCATGTTTGTCGAACTTTTAAATGCTTTTCAAGAACTAGAACATTTAAATCTTCTTTGATCTGTATTTCTTTGATCTGTCATCACAGATGTTCCATTAGTCATTCATCCATATGCCACATTTGTGTTACCTCTTACAACCAATGTAATATATTTTGATGAAAAATCGAGACTGACTTTCTCTGGTATTGGTGTTGACAGATAGCATTTAGGCCATGAGCCAGACCATTTTCCTCAGAGGGACCAAACACTTTTATGTTTTATTACTTACAAGAAGACACAAAAAGTGACCGATGTTTACTATACAAGATGCACACTTGAAGTATTAACTCTGCCCTGGACTGTATTTCTTGGATATTTGCATGGGAAGAAACATCGAAGTGATGCATGTAATCCACTGTGCTGAAACCAACATGCACGTGTAAATTAACATAGAAAACATAGCGAGGGGCGAAGCAGGGATTCAAACCCACGATGGTACGCAACTCTATTTTTATAAACAACTGGGCCATCAACACCCTGTAGCGTGGGTGGGAGTTTTCTCACGACCTAAAGTATTATAATCCTGGAATATGGGGAATAGATTCCGGCGATAAACTTACGACGGTTTGATTTGTAGCTTGTCCACTGGTGGTTCCTGTTCTTCTTTTTCAGCATTTTTGTCAGTAATTGATTCTTTTCCATTCATTTCAATTTCTGAAATGAAAAAAAATGTTTTTTAATTTTTTAAAAACAAAACCCAAACAAACTTGAAAGGTTCCAAGGATCACACAGTGTCAGAGAGACATTTGCCGAACAAGACGTCAGTAATTCGATGTTTATTCTTCTCTTTAATTGCATGGCAAATACAGTTGTCTCACAAGTTAGCAAATAATCCGATGTTAAAATAGTGACAATAAGAAACATGAATTTATCTGAAATTTATGAAAGAAGAGCGGTTAAGAAGGACATTTTCTGTCAGATAATTGAACTGCATGGAATGTATGGTTCAGATTACTGCTCTTCAGAAGGATTTGTCGAGCCGATAAAAGTACCGAAGAATACATTTTCTTTGCTTGTGTCCGTTATGCCGCACAAAGCAATAAGAAGGCGGTCTGTAAGTATTCCAGTCAAGAACAGACAATCCCCCGGTTGACACATGAGCATCGATCTACGCAGTTGGGATACGATGACATGTGTCAACCAAGTCAGTCGCCTCCTAAGACAAAACAGACACTAACGAAATGGCTGGAGACTAGTCAAGGAACCAGTCCCAACCGATAAGCACCGTCCCCTTGCATCCGTCCTCGGAGATTAGTCGCTATGGCGTCACATCCGGTGAAACTTGATTCCGCGGGTGATGAATCTTTCCTGTTTGGTACCCGTCGTTTGTAAAACATATTTAAAGAGGAGGGTTATACGTATTTTGGCACACCACCCCTCTCACCGGGTGTTTTTCCACAGAGGAGCGTTTCGCCCTAACCTTTGGACTTCTTGATTTATGTCCACATACCCTTCTCCAAAATCCCCGCCCCTGCTGACTGATCATGCCAGTCAGTCAGAGATGTACACATACTACTCACACTTTTCTAAGGATTACAAAAAAACACAATTTTACTTACACGTAGATTTATGATTTGAAATTGTATCCATTTAAAACTGGATAAATAGTAATATGGTAACCCCTCTTTAGGCAAACAGTCACTAACCTTATGCACTTGATACATGAGTAACCATAAAAATGGTTTTCATGGCACCAGTCAACCATTTTGCAAATCACAGAACAAGTCATTGACAAGAACACAACACATGTCAGTAGCAGGTATGGGATCCACAAGACGAAATGACTAACTGAAACCTAGGATCCATGCTAGGACTAACTGAAACCTAGGAACCTTATGCACTTGATACATGAGTAACCATGAAAATGGTTTTCATGGCACCAGTCAACCATTTTGCAAATCACAGAACAAGTCATTGACAAGAACACAACACAACACATGTCAGTAGCAGGTATGGGATCCACAAAACGAAATGACTAACTGAAACCTACGATCCATGCTTACAATAAGCTTAGATATTTAAACCAGTTTGACCCTACATTATAGTTTTCTGTTGAATCCATGATTTGATCCTTAGCAAAGTGTGAATAGTATATTACGCCAGGGTCACTGACCTATGCACGTGTACATACTTAATATCGTGAGGAGGTGTTAATTGACATTCATAGAGAGAGCCTTGAGAACTTTAGTAAAGATTCACAATGGCAGAAAATCAGAACCTCATTACTCGAATCTTACTACAAGCATAGGGAGCTGGTCCCCTACTGTGTGATGTCGGCTGACTGATCCAGGTGTAACGTACCTCCCTGGTCTTTAGAACGGTCTCTCGTATCCTTCAGCTGTATTAGAATGGCGTTGGCGATTGGGATCATCATGGCCGTCGTCGCAGTGTTGCTGATCCACATCGACAGGAACCACGTTGCTATCATCAACCCAAGCATTAACCTGTTCAAAATAATGGTTTTGATTTGTTTGGTTGGAAATTTTAAGATTTTCGTTGAATTGTTTTACGCCGCAGTATTCCAGCTGAATCACGATAGCCGGTGAATGCTTTCATTCATGGCCAACCAAACCAGTGGTTGATACTATGAGCAGCATCCAATAATACCAAGAAAGTCATGATGCCAAAACTACGGCGAGCAGCGATATAGACCTATTTTGACTGGGATAAACACGCTGTCAGAACACAGAAGTTTGTTATTCGAATGTTCTACAGTGTTGATATTTAGTTTTTACCTCAAGGAGGATTTTAGCAGGTAGTATCTATCAGTATACCATAAAGGTCTAAGATGTAAAACCTCCGCTGAAGGTTCTAATGTCAGTAAAAGGCTATCATGTCAGTATGCATTCGGTCACCATTTGAAATAGATATAGTACTGGTGCAGCATTTCTGAGATATTTCAGAAAAGCATGTCGTTCTACTTAAAAAAGCTGGTCTCTGTACTTCACATGGACGTGTATCTGTTCACAATTGGATGTGATGTATTAATATGCCTCACCATCTTGGTTCGGACCCAACCATCATCAAAATGCGCAGTGCAATTCTTCTGTGGATGTTCCAGTGTTCTATAGCAACAGCCATGCACAGTCCACCAAGGAAAACCATGATTGTATCCTGTAGGAATAAATCACCATTATACTGTAGCTCCACATACAGACACACATCGACATATTGCTACACTGATACACCAGAACTTGTAAAGGATGACTATTGGATATATCTTCATATCATCATTGGTTCAATGTGACATATGATATCCAACCAATACTCATATTAGTCACGTGAGGCTTAATTGTGCTGGAATAATGCTGTGTGAAAGTGAGGGAAGAAATACACACTTGTTTACGCAAATTATTAGACTAACAACTAGTCTCTGAAATGAACATATTTTACAGAAAAAACAACAGTTCATAATAAAGACAAAAAACTATAATCAAAAGGGGCCCTGAGACTTGCTTCATTTTCAGAAACTGTGGAAATCTAGAATTGCTACATATTTTAGACTTGCTTGGATATGTTTGTTTCAGGGTCTGTATGACAGACAAACAAATTAGTTGAGTTGCATGTTATACCGTGGCGCGTGGTCCTGTGCTCAAAGCTGAAGTTAAGCTGCGTCGAGCTCGGAGAGTCCTTGGATGGGTGACCGTGTTTGGCAGCTGGACTCCTGAGAGTTTCTAGGACTTGAGTCCTGCCCCACAACGAAGCACATGTGACACATGTGGTCTCACCTTAGGCAAGTGAGTTTGTTCAAAATTGTCTCTGTTCACCCAGCAGGAAAATGGGTACCCGGTGGAAAAAAGTCATATGACTATAACCTTCTAGCGCCTAACAGGCAGCTTGGGTTATCCGGGGTAATAATTTGCTGTGCCTTGAATGTTAGCGCTATGAGCATACCTAGTGTGGAGTTTGGCGCTATATAAATGGACACATTATTATTATTATTATTATTATTACCGGTAGGGCAGGACATACTTACCCTTCCCGCGAGCACCTGGTGTCATCAGTGATTTGCGGTGATCCATTCATATAATTTTCAGAGTTATTTTACTTTAAATGCTGACGTTATACATTTGTAGAATGACAAATAACAATTACTCATTAATTATCATTTGGAGCAAAGTTAAAAAAGTCATCCATGTTGTTTTCCCCTTTACACAACTGAACATATTCATTGTAACAGTTTGGTCACAGAACAAGATTACTTTGTATCGATTTTTGTTTAAGGATATATCAATGCACCCTTAAAATCTTCAAAGAAAAGAAGTGCACTGAAATCACAAAATAATCAAAACACACTTGAGTCCCTTGAGTGTAAAGTCTCTCTACTCACATTCATATAAGCCTTCGATATGACTTTAGCCTCCACCACATTGAGGAGCGGAAACATGAAGACTGGGAGCAGCGCTGTCACCGAGATTGGCAGCGACTCGGAGATCCAGAACACCGCCATCATGATAACAACGTAGGCACATCGTCCCTCCTGAAAAGTAACACGCAAATTCCGTTATTGAATCTTTGTGGCTTCCGGACACCACTGATTACCTCAGTAAATATACACATGGAACTTTATTAAGTACCCCTCGATTGTTTCATGTTGCCATGAAACTGAGCAACCATTACCATTAGTATGTATACTGGAAAGCTCAAACTCCATTGTTTCCTGAAAGTTGACATTTTGGACTAAACTAATTTGCATTATTTTAATTTACAAAATGACATGAAAACATCAACGATGTTTTGTCAACGAAATGTATCCCTGTACAACTATGGGGCTGCAGAGTTCCAAAATGGGAGAGGTGAGTTTCTCTCAGTCTGAAAATGTTCTCTGTCATCTTCAGACAACAAATCACATGAAACATGTTAATAGCGTGCATATCCACCATGTGCACGGATGACAGCTTTACCACAACCCCCTCCTCCCCAATCTTGTACAGGCGGATCCAGCGTCCAAAATTGCCCCAGACAGGCTCCAATGAGCTCCAATCCGGGCTCATAGCAGGCCATGGAGCTGTCACATGTCGGGAACGATGTGGTCGGGCGTTGCAATCCATAAATACAGGGCAAGTGGCTAATGGGTGGTTATCCAAATGTGGCACAAGAACAGGATCCAGAATGTGGTCGCCATTGAGATTTCCACGAACAATTGCCAAGACTTAGTCCAGTCATGGGAGAGACAATCCCAGACCATGACAGATCCACCACCGTAAGGAATTGATCCCGGTGTCGTGCATTCCAATAATGTGCCATCTTCTTGCTTCTTGTAGTCTCCCTCGTGTCATAACAGATACTGGTAAAATCATTAAAGCGTTTTAGCGTTTTATACAGTTAGCCGCATTGAGTTAATAGGGCTTTTGGAGACAAACTTGGGTAGTGTGCTTTAACTGCATATTAGGATGTGATTGATTGATTTAGCAAAACCCTTAAACAATATTGAAAGGGAATACAGTAACCAGTTCAAATAATAGTCATTGTTACAATTCAAGATTTATCATTAGGTATGTCAGTAACTTAATATATGTTAGGGGTGCTTAATTAAGTCCCTGTGTATATTTGGAACAGTGTGTCGTTGTACAAAGCAACCTTTGGTTTACGACTGTCGTAAGCCTATGTTAAGGTAGCTCTAAGATCGTTTTGTACAACAGCACCCATATGACTAAGTCTGTTTTGGTTGTAGTTGAACGCCGCACTAAGCAACATTCCAGCTGTATGACAGCGATCTGTATATAATCGAGCCTGGAACAGACAATCCAGAGATGAACATAATGAACATCGGTCTACGTAAATGGGATACGATAACATGGGTCGACCAAGTCAGCGAGCCTTGACCACCCGATCAAGTCTGGTTAAGTAATTAGAACAGATGAAGAGTGTGTTTCTTTTATATTCAGTAGGTAAATATTTGGAACAGATGACGAGATGTGTTGCTTTTCATTCCGTACAGTCAATTCCGTATGGTCAACTGAAATATGCTGCTTTACTCTCTGTACAGGACAGATGAGATGTGGTGCTCCGCATTCCATACAGTAACGATTTCGAAAGGTTTCCAAAATATATCCCACACAATAACCAGTAGAAGGAAGAAGAACATGTATTTCTGTACATCAAGCATTCTATTAGACATTTCCGCGTCACACCTCACACAATAACTATTCAGACGATAGAATGTCATCGCCTTTCACATCCCGCTAAATACATATCCAGGCCATAGAATCATACATATTTCTTCACGTTTCTTATTCTTCTAATAATGGTCACGTTTTGTATTTAGACTTGGTGTATTCATACTGGGTGTAGTTTACGAGTTCCTCGTCATGTGGCGTCATAGTAGGTAAGTACAGTGGAAACCGCCTAAGTAAAGACCGCTTAACTGAACAGACCTGATAAGTAAACACTTTTCTTTGGTCCCGGCAAATTTCTTCATAAATTATCACTATTAGAGTCTGGTTAACTAAACTCGGATAAGTAAACAATACCGCTTAACTAAACGTCTTCTCACGGTCCCTGGAAGTAAATTACTTAACAAAAGAGACCGGATAACTAAATTAGCGATCACCACATAACCCGACATGAGGGGTAGTCATGTCAGTCTCCAGTCAAACAAACACCCTACTTACAGCTTGCTGGCAGCACGCAGTTGACAATACACTGACAACTGGAGGCCAGCCCTGATAAGTTGTCCATTGTTACATATGCATACATATACATGCATATGGTTGTCATTTGCAGGTTTTTATAAGTTTGGATAAGTAAATACCTGATAAGTAAACAATTTTGGCGAGTCCCTTGAAATTTTACTTATCAGGTTTCCACTGTAATTATATCATGAATAACGCCGATGACGTAAAGATTACACTCTATTTTAAGTCTTTTGAAAATTCATGTTTAAAGGCCATTTGGCTCAGATACAATCAGGTCATAGTAGATAGGCGATGATGTCATAAATGACTGAAAGGTAAGATTGTAGATTCTCTTGAACAAAATCATTTAACGGCGACTTGGCTCGGGTTAGTCACAAATGACACCTCTATTCCATTCTCACTACCTTAAAAAATAAAATATATCTGATGGTATAGAGACTGTGTACAGAATACGTATCCTCCCCAAACCCCAACGTTCCTACGGGTCTATTTATTGATGAGATGCTTAAGAAACCAATATCTAGGGCTTGCTAGAAACATAATACAGGATACATGAGACACATGTGTTTACCTGATTTGTTTACTGAGCACACAAACGGTACCATGCCACATATACGTTGTGTCCTTGACGTGACGATGAATGTTTGATGGAGATCACCAGCCACGTAAGGGTATGAAAAGGATCATATCTCTACTGTAGTGCCTATAAACATACTCAGCCCAATTCGGTCTGAATAAGTGTGGCGATCATAGCCCGTGGCTGTTCTATCGCACACTAAACTAGAAATTATGAATACCGTATTTAAACGGACTAAAAATTAAATATTGAATCTAACGTACCCTGTATGGTAATATCATGTGTACAAATACTGTAATTTTCTTTCAAAGGTAAGAGTAAGTAAAAAATATAAATGTTTAAGTAACGTCTACTTATTTCAGCCATATTGTGACTGGAACAGAACAAGCTGTGCTGTCACTTAGTGTTTGTCCTTAAAACTGAAAAGCTGTATGCCCTAAGGACCCAGAACCACAAAAAAAAGTTGTGGGTCGTGATCAAAATATGTGAAGGCCTTATATTTTAGCTACAATATAAATAATTCCCAGAAAACAAACTATGTGACAACTAACAAACTAATTTAAAGAGTTTAGAAATTTAAACTAGAAATTACTGAATGATGTTTTTTGAAAAAAGTTATTCGTAGGGATGAATTCTTTTCACAGAAAACATCATTCAGTAATTTCTTGTTTAAATTTCTAAATTAAACTCTTTAAATATTTTTTTTTCAGAAAACATAAAGACCTGCAGAAAACAAAAGCTGTGAGTCCGAGTGGTTTTCAGTCGGCTTCGTTAATTTCGAACGCTGCTGTCACTTAAACCTTAAACACTGCCACCGAAGGACAGTCGAACAACAAGCAACGTATCAATTGTTGTAACACTATCAGTGCAAAAGGTAGTGTCGTCATACTAGTTGCCATGGTATACTGCGGAACCGCTGGTTCCTTCCTGGTAAACCAGCACTATTTACGAGTATATCATTATATTAGTAACTGTGAAGGAATGCCCGCATTACATGAGAAAGCTGAACGGTATGAGTTACATAAAGACATACGTGAATAAAAGCGACACCCTTTTCTATTACATAAACCTGTGTTCTGTTTTTCCATGTGAGTGAGTGAGTTACATCGCATCGGCAATATTGCAGCCACATAGAGATGAGAACAAGTTGAATAATATTAAAAGTCTGTCAACAAAGGGCAGTAAAATAGAATGTTCAATATCACAGTTTAGATGTAAAACAAACCACTAAGGGGAGGGGGGGGGGGGAGGGGGCTGAGCCTAGTGGTTACGCTCGTCACGCCGAAGGTTCGATTCTCCACATGGGTACAATGTGTAAAGGCCCGCCGACATATTGCTGGAATATTGCTAAAAGTGCCGTAAAATCATACTCGTTCACTCACTCACTCATACCCATCTGAGACCTGAACCAACTGAACCTCCAGCATGAAGCTGAAACGCCATGATATAAGTGAAACACTACTGAAAGCGGCGTACGTACTCATACGTTGACCTAAATATGTATTACATATATTGAATGTTAAACCTAATATTCCAAGGTAGGCCTTTATGTTGTATACATAAAATATAATATGAATGTAGTCTAAAGGGTGCGTAAAAAAAGCAAACTGTCGACTTATGTTTACGAACAGAATGGTATGTATGGAAGCGTATTAGTGCTACTGTCTAAAATAGTTTTAACATCCATGTAGATAATTCTTTTATCGACTCGACGTACATGATACCTTTGTTCATGATAATGATACTTCCATCTTTGGAATCGTACTTATGCCTCAATTTAAAATAATTTTAAGATCTATGTAGATAATTCTTTTTTCTACGTAGCTGATTCTTTCATCTACGTATAGTCTACGTGACACTTTAGTCTACGTGAATGAATCCAGTTAGGGTTCATGCAGGTAGCGAAAGTCCAAATGGTCCCTAGTATGGTGATCAACGTTCAGTTGTTGGCGATCTACAGCCTGGTTTATATTGTATTGTCTTCTATAGTTAAACTGTTTTTTACTAGTTTTAAATTTATGTCTGTGATAATCTAGTTGTTTACTGTCCTTCGTTGACAGATACTTATTATGTACCTTTAATTATTATAAACCTATAACTCGCTGAAATATTGCCGATGTGCCTTTAAATATTAACTCACTCACTCACTACGTGAATGATACTTTCATCTGTGGAAGCGTAATAAAGGCACAGACTAAACTGATTTCATCAATTAAGTAGAAAGATCTTTCATCTGCACAATTGCTATAAATAAAGTGCTCGTTG